CAGTCTCCTTAGCTGATCAGTCTCTAAAGAATTATGTTCGGATATGGTTTCTGCATTTTTAGGAGGAGAGTGATCAGGATGAGGGACTTGTGGGGAGAAATGACATAAAGGGAACAGACAATTTGAAAGGGGCAAGTTTAATTCAAGAAGATTTAGAGACAAGATAGCTGTCTTCAAAGGCTGACGTGTGCAGCTCGAATTAGATTTACTCTAATTACCTTTAAAGCAGTGGTTTGCAAATTTTGCTCTGCAGAGCTGTGGTGTGTGCAGGGAGAGGGGTGGTACAGGAGAGGGGGGCACGAGTGGACGCGCTGAGGGCCCCTGCAGCTCCCCACAGAAATGTACCACTTTCAACTGCTTTATAAATCGGGCTTGCGCCTAGTACTTTTTTTAAAGACACGTCGCACGGCTTAAAAAAAAAGTTTTGAAAATCATTGCTATATAAAATAATAAATAGGTGAGAGTTGGCACTCAGTGTAGGATAAAATGTTTTAGCAATAAGAGGCTTTGAAAAATTAGATAGATGCTTTTGTGAAATGTGAATTCCACATTAAGTTAGAAACTTAACGACCCTGACCAGGATAATGGAAGATTTCTGTTTATGGGGAGAGGTTGTGCTGGATCTTCTCTAGGTTTCCTACAGTTCTAAGATTGTGGAGTTAATTTCTTCTTTTACTGTCAGTATCAGATGGTTTGGCACTTAGCTATTCTCAGTTGGCTATTTGGGTAAACCCCACCTCCTCATTAAATCATGAGACTCCAGAGAGTAGGAATCATGTCTTCACTGCTTTTGGAGTCTTCAGATCTCAGCATAGATGAGGCGCTCAGTAAATACCTGTTGATACAGGAAGTAACTGTAAGAAGCACATGCCTGATTGCCTTATGACCTCTTCCAATTATAAAGGGTGATAAGGGAAGGTATTTGCAGGCATTTAAAAAAAATTATTGCTTTCTGCCCTCTAGGAATAGTAGAAATGACCAAGAGATTTAAGATAAGCCTCCTCTCTCTCTGTTTCTCTCTCTCTCTCTCTCTCTCTCTCTCTCTCTCTCTATATATATATATATATATATATACACACATATATGTATATATATAATTTTTTTTGTCAGCAGGCCAGACTACTACCGTGTCTAAAAAAGTGAACATGACCTCTCCCCTCTCCCTTCTGCCCCCACCCCTCCCCGCGGTAGGGAGGTGCTAACAGGCGAAACCTTGAATGTGGAAATCATGACTCTGCATTCAAACTGAGAAACTGAGATACAGTAGAAGGGCAAAGTGAGATTTCCAGGGACCCCGAGTGCAGATAGGAGAATGCATTAGAAGAGGATCATATCACCGGCCTGGTCTTAGGTGTTTTGTTGTTTTTTGCCTCATGATTCGGTTGGTTCTGAGAACTAGAACTAAAGGGGATGAATTACAGGAAATTTTTCCGGATGCAAGATTGGAATCCAGCCGTCGTGGTAGAACTGATAGGGGCAGGCAGGTGCTTGAAGAGCACAGCGTCATCTCGGGCAGCCCTTTCACGCATAGGAGGCCTTTCATATTTCTTCTCTTTGTACTGGGTGGGAAAGAACTGTATTTCCCCCAGCTTGCGGCACATTGCCTTGTGCTTAGTAGACACTCAAAAAGTGCTTATTTAATTGAGTTGAATTGCATTAAGGGGACTTTCAGAGCCAATTACCAATTACAGTCCACACATTAGTAGCCATGATTGTAACCGGCATTAGTAGTCATGATCACTTGAAGTCCCCACTATACCTCTACAAACTCACAACCTAAGTTTCAGGATGACAGGTTTCATGGTGTCAATATCTTATAATTCATGTCACAAATAAGTCACATCTGAAAACACAAACAGATCTCTGTCCAAGTTTGTTGTTGACAGATGACAAGGGGAATGCCTGGAGCCAGTAATGATTCCAGCATTAAGGAAGCTTCCCCATACCCCCAGGGATGCTTTTGTTAGGTGAGTAATTATAAATCCAAACTATGTGTGTTGTAATACCTGAGTACCTTCTGGAGTGAAGGTGTCATAAACAGACAGAAAGCTCGACGGGGAAGAGCTTTCAAAAAGAGTCTAATATTCATGTCTGTGATACTGATGGAGAAGAAATTGGGGGCCCAGAGATACTTAAAGAGCCAAGACTAGCACACATGTTATTTGATTCCTGAGATAAGTGCTTATTTATAAAGCTGAGAGAGTATCTTTCTTCATTCTGTAGATTTTTCATAATATTTAGGAATGGCCTTTCTTCTCAAGGCTTTTGAAATTTGGGGATTATGCTTAATTCTAAAAAGTGTTAATATAGCCTTAAAGCTGCTAAACATGTTCTAGGGCTTCAGGTAATAAGAGGACACTGCAGGTGTCAAGAGCATCACAAAGCTGCTTACATAAGATAACATCATAATGCCTTAGGCAACAAATGTCTTATGCTAATATGGATGGAAATAGAAGGCCTATGTAAAAATTTAAGACAATGAAGACAACTGATTTAGAAATTGTGTGTGTGAAAAATAAGAATTGTTTAAGCATATTAAAGCATACTGGAGCCAATTTTTAAATTCGTTTAAGTGATACATTACTTTTGAAGCCTATGTGCATATTTACATGATTCTTACTTAGCAGCAGTTCATTAAAATGTCAGTTAATCGATCAACATAGTTGAGTTATGCTGGGCAGCTTTAGAGATCAGAAATAGGATCAGGATAAAAGTTTCACAGAGGAAAATTCAAGCATATAACAACAGAGAACTTAAATCATATTTTACTTGTTAATTGTTAATTATACCAAAGAGTCAAGATAGTGAAAATTAGGTCTTCTGTCTCCCAGCCACCCAAATTCCCTGTCCAGAGGTAACCACAGCTTCTTGGATACCCTTCCAGAGACTTTCTGGGCATATCTGTGCATACTGGGAAGCATAATGAACATACTGTTTGGTACTTTGCACCTTCACTCACTTAGCTGTACTTTGGACATTGATGAAAACCTTTCTGATGACCAGTGCTCTTCAGCAGTAGAACAGACTGTCTTGTGATGTAGCTGAGAAATGCCACTCCATTGTTCAAGAAAGGCTAGAGATTGGCTCTGAGAAACATTGAAGGGATTCCCACCCTGGGTAGTGGTTGATAACGACCTCCAGGACTCCCTTTCTCAAGTTCTATGAGACATGTAAGTGCCTACTAGGTGCTAAGCACTATGGGTCAAAAAAGAAGTACCATAGACATTCTTCCAAAGAAGACATACAGATGACCCACAGTCACATGAAAAGATGCTCAATATCACTGATCAGAAACCACAATGAGGTATCACCTCACACCTGTCAGAATAACTATCATCAAAAAGGCAACAAATAGCAACTGCTGTTGAGAAAAGAAGACCTTTGTGCACTGTTGGTGGGAATGTAAATTGGTGCAGCCACTATGGAGAACAGTATGGAGGTTCTTTAAAAAACTAAAAATAGAGTTACCATATGATCCAGCAATTCCACTTCTGGGTATTTTTCTGAAGAAAACAAAAACTCTAATTCAAAAAGATATACACACCCTATGTTTGTAGTAGCTTTATTTAAAATTGCAACCTCAGTGTCCATCAAAAGATGAATGAGTAAAGAAGATATGGTGTATGTATGTGTGTGCATATTTATATATATATATTTTCCCCCCAATGGAATATTACTCAGCCATAAAAAAGAATGAAATCTTACTATTTGTGACACCATGGATGGACTTAGAGGGTATTATGCTAAGTGGAATAAATCAGAGAAAGACCAATACTGTATGATTTCACTTATATGTGGAATCTAAAAAAACAAATGAACAAACATAACAAAACAGAAACTGACTCATAGATACAGAGAACAAATAGGTGGTCACCAGAGGGGAGGGGATGAGTAAAATAGGCAAGGGAGATTAAGAGGTG